TGGACTGGCTTTAATCAGAACCCTCTTTTTGCCTGGGCAAAATTAAATTCCTATATTTTTTTAAACATGATCTCAACTTCTAATTAAAATCATTTTTTCCCACATGTAAAGAACATTTGAACAAAATATCACAATAAGTAAAAGTTAGAAAAATAGTACTCTAGGCATGATATAATGGGAAAACTTAATAAGTTCTACTAGAGGGTCAACAGCTTCTGCAGACCCCAGGCAAGGTGTGGGGAGCAACTCTGCACCCCTGGAAGGGGAGGAGCCTCAAGTGGAAGAGGCGAGACCAGGCAACCAGCCTTCAGTGCCACTTGGACTGCAGCACTTGGTCCCCCTGCCAGCCCTTAGAGTGCCACTGCACATATCCATGTGGCTTTGGCGGCGATTTAAAGAGCCCAAGACTCTGGCAGCGGCTGCAGTAGCAACAGGGGCATCAGGGAGCCCTGGGCCCCTTTGAATCGCCGGGCCCTGGGGCAACTCTCTCCCCGTCGGCTGGCCTGGTTCTAAGGTGTCAAAAGTTGTTATCATTCTCAAGCAATATTAACCATCTATAGAATGAAGAAGTCATAGAACAGTAGAATCTTTCAAATCAATAAAATGTTTTAAAGATGCCCACTACATTGCTGATTCTAACCTACTAGAAGACAAATTATTACCCCCACTTTCATATTACGAATATAATCCGCAGAAAATACAGAATATATTCCGCCCTGAGAATCTAACAACTTCTCTGCAACACACGAACTAGCACACAAAAATGTTTCTGCCTCTTTTTAAAAGCATTATCCAGATTTTGGCCAAAACATAATAATTCATACAGTATTAACGTGCTGCTCAATCTCTGAAGACGTGTACTTGTCTAAAGCATGTCATTTATTTTTTCAAGATATTAATAAACAAAGTTGTGTGAGAAAGGCAGGAGTAGGTGGATATATCATACCCTTAGACTATTGTCACTTGGCCAAAAACAGATAATCCTGCCAAAATCAGTGATTTAGGCTGTCGGAAACTGGTATTTACTTTTTTCCTTCTACTTGGAGAATGTTTTGTTTAAACTCAGAAGAAAATCTGAAATTGTCTTGAATCATAACACATCCTTGCCATTTTTTCACATCTGTTCTCTCTCAGACATTCCATTTATTAAAAAGGTTGAGTAAATGTGACGTCATCCTATTATACCCTATGGAAACAGGGCATCAATTCATCAACCAGATACTGGCTCCTCCTATGTCCTCCTATGACCTCCTATGCCTTCTGGGGATAGGCCCAGCCATCCGCCTACCATCCTACCCTGTTGTGTGCTCCGTGAACAGCCAGCTAAACCCAGTTCTACAGCTGCTCCATCATTTCAAATGGGAAATGGAGTCTCCAGATGCAAGACTGAACTGGAACAATGGTTACCCAGAAAGCCAAAGAAGGGAAGTCAGCTAGTCTTTTCCTTTGAACACTAAGCTATTGTTGTCTTTAAACACTTTTTGAAACTCGGACAAGACCAGAGCGTACCAACTGCCAGCAATCAAGGTTGCAAATTTTTTGTAGGAATGGGAAAACCAGACTGAATAAAAAAAAAATTAGAAGACTTAAAATGAGATCCAGGTTGGTTTTTTTTAACAAAATATTTTCGTTAACTTTTCTTAACATTGTTTTTCCTTTTTTTTTTTTTCAAACTGTCAGAAAAATGAAAATGTTCAGCCAATTAGTAAAAAAAAAATGGGGTAAGAGTCGGTAGGAATTTTGCAAACTTTCTTCAAAATTTTCCCAGATTTTTCTTTTACATTTTCATTGAGATTCTGAAATGTGAAGAACTTTAAATGATCTTTACTTTAAAAAGTCATCTCTTCCCCAACCAGACCACTTATTTCATGAGCTCATGGGCCTCCGCCCAGCAGGATCAGGGTCTCTTTCATCACCCTCTTCAGTAAGCATGCTTCCTAATCCTTAATTACAGTTTGTTTATCTTTCTATTATTAAAAATAATAATTTGCATAACGGTAACAACTTGCACACCAGTGTGTTAGGTGCTGTATAAACATGGAATTGTTGTGTACTTATGTCACAGATTAATCTGTAATGTTGTAGCATAATAGTCCTTTTGGCTCTGTAAGTGCTTTATTATACCTACCAGTCTACTACAATGAGGTCAGTTTCTGATAGTTCTGTGAGCTTAAGGTATGTCCTAGGTCTCTACATTTTACTGAGGTGTTCTGAGATTCTACTGGTAAAGGGTCTTCTTCTAGCAGGTACAGTATGCCAATATTTGAGCTAAGCTACTAAAACTGAAATATGATTTGTGCTTTTCTGTGTACCAAACTCCTACTCCTGATGAATATTTACCATCTAAAAACAAAAACACTGCCATAAGGTGTGAATAAAATTAAATCTCTTTTGTTTAAAAGGAAACGGAATGACAGATATATTTTCCAACATTATAACAACAGCATAAGCATGTATTAATATAGCAAGCTCCACCAGGTGACTCCGGGACCAGGGACCATAGGCACATGCCAGTTGCCTTTGTCCAGCTCTGTTCATGGGTGTATCTGAATCCCACTGGAAGTGAGCCAGCTCAAGCAGACTAGCAAGGCACAGCTACACAATCTATTTTGATTGGCATCTCATTTTGATGTCTCAGGCAGGCGAAGCTGAGGAGATCAGAAGACTGCTATTACTTTCAGTTTTACAGTTTGGGCCCAGTATAATTGACATCCCCAACCCTCCAAATATGGCCTGAAGGATAAGAGATCCTATTTGCCTTTTTATAATTCTACAGCCTGGGCTCTGAGAATGAGTAGCATTCTAACTGGTCTATGTGCTTCATTTCTGCCACTGAAATAGCAGGAATTTGCATTTTATATTTGTCTGTAGATGTTGGTACTGCAGGGGCTACCTAAATACAGGGATCTTGAGGACTATGAGGAAAAATCCCTTCTACTGATGGCAAACATGCACCTAATACTGTATGCAACAACACACACAACTGCAACACACAAAAACTAAAGTATTAGGTTGCTCTTAAATTAGGGAAAAATCCCTTCCACTGATGGCAAACACGCACCTAATACTGTATGCAATAACACACACAACTGCAACACACAAACACTAAAGTATTAGGTTGCTCTTAAATTATTAGTCATCAATTAAACAATTACACTGTACAACAGAATTGGGCCCAATATGGGACTACTTTTTGCTTTACCACCCAAACAATCCAGTCAATAACAGTATTAACACTAGCCGTGAAAACACCCACTTATAATGCTTGTGCTCATTGTTCACTCAGCTAAAAAGGTACTGGGCAAAAGCAGTTAGCATAACTGTAGGTGATGATACAGCAAGGACAATTCTTTTCTGTACAAGACCGCTTATGTCAGGCTACATCTAGACTGCAGGCTTTTTACACAAGAAGCTGTTGTCGGAAGAGATCTTACACAAAAACTTCTTGCACAAGAGAGTGTCCACACTACAAAAGCGCATAGAAAAAGTGATGCACTTGTGCGAAAGAGAGCGTCCAGACTGCCTGGATGCTCTCTCACAAGTAAGCAGTGATTGCTATGGACAGAATGGCCTCCAGGGCACCTGTGCTTTTTCCTCTTTCCTCTTCTTGCACAAAAAAACCCTCTTCCCTGTCCACAAACGCCTTTTTGTTAACGCCGTTTTGTTCAAGAGCTCTTGTGCCAAAAGGAACGCCTTTTTGTTCAAGAGCTCTTGTGCCAAAAGGCATTCTTCCTCATAGAATCAGGATTACCAATTGCGCAAAAAAAACCTCTGTTCTTTTGATTTACTTGCTCAAAAACATGCTTGAGGTGTGGATGCTCCACGAGTTTTTGCAGAAAAGCAGCTGTTTTTCTGCAAAAACTCTGTAATGTAGATATAGCCTCAGACAGTGTAGACAGACTTCTTGGCAGCTTTGAAAGTCCTTTTCATACAGCTCTGTCCACAACATACTGAGTCAAATTCTACCCACAACCGTGGATACACAATTCAATGGAAGTTCCTTCTACGGTTCCCAGATGGTTTAACAAAAAATACTGACTACCCTCCTCCACACAAAAAAAAATACCGGGAAAAAATTCTGTTGAGAAAAAAAGGGAGGGGAGACCAAAGTTGTTGAGCAAAAGGAAAAAGGACGCTGTGCCTATAAATGGTCCTGCGCCCCTCACTACCCCGCCCCCACCAGACACACCAGGGGAAAATTGTCCCTGCTGGGCTTCTATCTAAGGAAAACAGTAAATACTGGACATTTCACATGTCCAGTATTTTCTGTTTTTGCTGTACCTATAAATGGTCCTGCGCCCCTCACTACCCCGCCCCCACCAGACACACCAGGGGAAAATTGTCCCTGCTGGGCTTCTATCCAAGGAAAACAGGAAATACTGGACATTTTCTGTTTTTTTACCAGACAGGAGATCCAAATAACGGACAGTCCGGGTGAAATGGGAAATCCAAATAACGGACAGTCCGGGTGAAAACTGGACACCTGGCAACCCTAGTTCCTTCCATGTCTTTGTCTGAAGACACAACATCTTATTCCTCTGGGGTGAAATAAACCACCATCCCCCAGGGCAGGAACCGCCGCATTGCTGCTCTATCTGTAATACCAACCCCGGTACTGCTCTTACATAGGGCTTAACTGTGCCTTGTAATAGCCAGTTTCACCGGGGCAAATTATTATTCCTAACTGAACATTAACAAGGGAAACAATTTGCCAGTCTGATAAGTGTTTTGGCTGCTGCCATGTTTGTGGGGCAAATTATTACTCCTAACTGAACAGTAACAAGGGAAACAATTTGCTAGTCTGATAAGTGTTTTGGCTGCTGCCATGTTTGCTCAATCCAGCTCAACTTCCCTTCACTCTTCTACCCATAATGGGCAGAAAAGGTATTTCCACTCTCAAGGACAAACAGTCAGAGGTAGCAGATCATGGAGGCTGCTTACTAGACACATGCTTTAAGCTATGCCTTAGACACCAGTTGTTATTAACGTCTGAGCCTTGCCTTTATACTGGATAGCTGTGTTCTCAGTGGGAAGTGGCGTCTCAGCAGCTCCTCTGCGATACACCACGTGCATCCTGCCTCCGTCTTCCTCTTGATTGCCCTTCTCCAGAGGCTCAATGAAGAACTCGTCCTTGTCTGTGCGAATCATGCCAGCCTAGGAATGACAGGGCAGAGATGGAACATTTTAAGTTACTATTCATACAGCAGATATTGTGAGTAAACAGTTACAATATGCTTAAGCACACTTTAGTGCTCTCTAGAGAGCAGTTAGAGTGAAGGGAGTAAGCGAGATGAATTCTTTATTAGAGCAAAATTGTAGCATTAATGCCTCAACTTGACAAGGAAGGACAAAGGTAAAACCCCAGACCAAAGGGATTTCTGCTGGAATCTAATTAGCAAGGTTTGGGACTAAAATATGCATGTGGAAGTGGACTCTCATTAGAAATCAGCTACAAAGAAACAGGTAATAAGACCATAGTAATTTGTCAGCCACAGATTGCTACAGTGTTGTACAAATACCCATGCCTGCTAAATAAAGGACCAATTCAGCATCATGGGCCGTTCCAGACATACAATTCTGTTGCTTGGCCAGACCTTTTTATTCAGAGACAAGATGGTAAAGCGCTAAACCTTAATAGTTGGCAAATAAGCTTTATAATTTTTTCTCCTGTATTAATGGATTATGTAAAAATGACACTAAAGATTGTACTGGCACAGAAATTCTCTTAGCCAGTTAGCAAAAAACAAAAAAACTATAATTTTCTGTAATACATTTCAAAGGGATAAAAACTTAAAAATCCAATCCAGGGCAAATATACTGGTATGAAAAACTGTAAAACTTTACTTGTCCAATGAAACACAAAAGAAAAGTCTGCCATGACACTTCTCAGCATTTCCATTGCTAAGTAGAGTGGTATGAAAGTCATTAGTACCACCGTGAACAAGATAATTTTCAAACATGTTTATTCAGATATAAAAATATCTATCCTTTCCCCACAAACGTCTGTGTAATTTTACAGTACTGCCCTGCTGAGAAAAGTTAAGATACTCAACAACTGGTTTGCATCGATTTTCCCAAAAAGATGGGTGCATATGTGTTTGCACATCTGTTTGAGAACATCAACTAAATAATTCTAAACAGAAAGCCTTGATGATCATGACATTAAATACAGAAAAAGACATTATTAATAGCACTGAATAGGGGAATATCACCCCATGTAGCTTTCTGGAAGCTGGCTACTTCACCTATTAATAACTCTTTTTTTTTATCCTGTTAAATTGGTGACACTAGAGAGCCGATTACCATTAATCACAGTCCCCTATCCGGTCACTAGACTTACTGCATGTGCAAACAAGTGCATCTGCACCTGTATACCACACTCATTATGGTATTTATGTAAGCATCTTGGTGTCCAAATTATTTGTAGATCACAGCACTTCCTAGAAAACCAAAAAGAGACCCTATTCCAGGACCCTTGAAGTCAATGTACAACTACCATTGTCATTTGAACATTCCACCATACCCCAGAGGTAACATTCTAATACAATGCAAGTGACCAAAAATACTTTTTCTACCCACAATACACTACTTTTGCCACAGCATGCTCCTGGAATCCTTTCTTGGAAAAATGTCAGGTTCATTTGTCATGTTTTAACTTACATTAGAAGCAGTTTATGTTGCTGCTCTGTTGCATGTACAGCGAGCAAACTGATTTTGAAATCCTTTCCTGATTCCTGTTATCTAATTTGGATTCTACATCAGACCCAAGGAAGGTGAAACAGGCTCAGTAGCCAAGCAAGCTAAGACAACTAAGAAAACAAACGCTAAACTGAGTAGAAAGCAATTGATCTGGTTCCTATAAACAGGAATGAATACAAAGAAACTTTAGAATTAATGTTCTGTTGCTTTATATCTTTTTAAAAAAACATATAAATACGTTTTCAAAACTTTTCATGAAATATGCACAGCTAGAGAACATGCAAAATTTTCTTGCTCAGGAAGAAGCACAAACTATGATGTGCATGTCATATTTAAATCCAGTGCAAATATACATGTGGCTTAACTGCAATAGGATGTAGGTATGCAGTTGCCATTTACAATTAACATATAGGTGGACTAGTATAAAAGGTCAGTCTGCATTTCTAGCTGAATTCAACTCTCCAATAATAAAGCAATTAATGATGGAGCTTAATAATTCATTGCGTGTTTAATAGGCAAAGACACCTCACAACACTAGGGCAAATGTTGTTCAGGGACTGAAGTCAGCATGATGAACTACAGACAATTTAGAGGGATTTAAGCATTCTAAGCAAATGAATAATAACTGGAAAATTCTTGCCATCAATAGTCTAACAGATCTTCCAAAACACAGACCTGAAAAGCAAACCTGCTCCAGGGTGTTGATGCTCTTTGAAAAAGAAAAAGGGAATTTATTCAGGTTGAATGATGCACCATGACTGCTTGAGAAAATGAAGACAATTTAAACACAAGACCAGATGACAAAAAAAGATCACCCAGCATACTTGGAAGTTTCAGAGAATCCTAATTGAACTGGGCATGACACTGTGCTATAAGGGGCTGAATCATAGAAAGGCCCTCTACAGAGGTGTCTTTTCTTCTAGGACAAATCAACAAGGCTTAGATCCAGCTCCAGATGGGGGGGTTTGCAGTTCAGATTAAGGATGTTAATTAGGGCTCCAGATGAGGGGGTTAAGCAAGGGTTTGCAGTTCAGATTAAGGATGTTAATAAGCAGTTAATTTACTAGTCGAGTAGTCTATGGAATTTCTATCGACTACTCGACTAGTTGATAGGCACTTCCACATTCTGCCTTTGAAATGTACAAGAGTGCCCGCTGTGGCTCTTGTACATTTCAAAGGAGGAACGTGGAACTCCACGTGCAGCCCGGGGCCAGCAGGAAGTCCCTCTGACTTCGGGCTGCATGCAGGTGCTAGCTTTGAAATGTACAAGAGTCCCCAGTGAGGGCTCTTCTGCTTTCAAAGCGGAAGCGCACTCATGGAGCCCAGGGTCAGCGGGGCACTCAGAGTTCCCCACTGACCCGGGACTCCGGGTGGCATTTCAAATCAGCAGCGAGCAAAGCCAGGTTTATGGCTGCTTTGAATTGCTGGACATTATAGCACAGTAGTGCCACAAATATGTTTGCACCCATCCAATCCTTTGTGTGTGTAACTGCAGTAAATTGCGCACACAGATACAGTAAAGTACAGCAAAGGTGCTGCCATTCATGGGGAAATAAATCAACATGAATTGTAGCTATAATTGTATTTATTTATATAGTAGATGCTTTCCAAACACAAGAGATGGCATAAGTCTGGAGGAGTTCACAAACTAAACTATAATGAAAGTCACATTTAGGGTTGGGCCCAACCCTGGATGCAAACCCATTTGGGGGAACTTCAGATCCATACATTAAAATCCATATCTCTTTGATAATGAAAGTCACATGTAGGGTTGGGCCCAACCCTAGATGCAAACCCATTTTGGGGAACTTCAAATCCATACATTAAAATCCATATCTCTTTATGTAACAAGCTGGACTCAAATGTTAAATCTGCAGCCTCCGCACTCCGCACATGGGGAAAGTATAGAATCTGATCCGAGCTTTACCTTTCAAACTTATCACTAGCTTGATGTGCAGGCCTCTGAGGACAGATGCTAGCAGAGGCCTAGAAGAAAAGTGTTGTTTATGTCTAGAAAAGGGGACTGGATAGAAGGAAGGAAAGATGCTAGCAGAGGCCTAGAAGAAAGGTGTCGTTTATGTCTAGAAAAGGGGACTGGATAGAAGGAAATTCTAAGAACTTCCGCCTTTCTGCCTTGTACTACTGTGTGCATCATTTAATCTCTCTACCTCATTTCCCCATGAGGGCTGATTAGATGTTTGTCAAGTGCTTTGAAATTGAAAAGCTCACCATAACTGCTAAGTATTTTTATTATTGTTTCAACTCAGTCAATCAGAAAAAAGTAGTTCTTGCTATAGCACATCTGTGAATACAAGCTCAACATCGCAAGGTTTTATGACCCAGCAAATAGTGTAATAAGTGCAAATCAAAGGCAGCCAGGGTGTTCGTATGAACCTGGATATGCCAATTACATAAGTTCTTTCTTCACTACAACCATATCCAACAATAGTGACAATACTCTTTGTGCCAAAAAAAATAAATGTCTGAAGATCTCAAAGTTTAACAGTCACTAATATTTGAGAGAGTTTATCTGTCTGTTCTAAACGGTAAGAGCTAAGACCAGCAAATTTGGTTTGCAGCTTTCTCTTAACATAACTGAAAGCAAGGTCAGGGTTTGGTTGTGCCAGGACAATGGGATGTGCCTGGAATGGGTTTGTTTCTCGTAAAACGGAAGGGGAGGGCTCTGCTATACAATGACCACATGGGGGCAGCAAGGGATATGGGATGGAAAGCAGGGACAGTTATCCTGTATAATGACCACAAAGGAGAAGCCAGGGGCCAGAGATGGGAATCCGAACAGCTATAACTTCATTGGGGCAGCAGGAGGCAAGGTGAAGAAAGGGCAGCTAGAAACTATATATTTGAGAGCGTTTGTGTGTCTGTCCCCCAGCTGGGAGACATGTACCTCTCCTCCGGATGTGCCCACTGGAGATGCAGCAGCCATGGAGAGGTGCTTCCCACCTGGCCCCAACCTTCTGCAGTGAGAGGGCTGGGGTTGTCCTCTCTCCCTGGGGCAGCCTGCACACTGAACCCCTCATCTTCACCCCCACTCCAGAGCGATGCTTTAAATGGAAAAAAATTAATTGAGCTAAGGACCCGAGCAACTTTATAATAGGATTAAAAAGTTACAGTAAATTCCTGGAAAGTATTTCTAGAGGGTCAAAACTGAAAGATCAAATTATTTTGACCAAATTCTGTTTTCAGGTCCTCTGACATTAGTCCAGAGGAGGGATGTAAATGACTAGTCATCTAGACCCTCGACTAGTTGCTCCCTCCATCTTTGCTGCCTCTATCAGAGGCAACGGGGGGGGGGGGGGGGGGGCGGGTGGGTGCTGGTGGGAGCTGGCTTAAAAGCTGGTTCCCCCCCAACACCATCTCCGCAGGCAGCAGGAGAGACAGAGGGGTACTGGGGAATCGGGTGCAAACAATTAGCTGATTCCCAGCTCACGCATGTG